GGGAGTTTTTCCTTCCCACTGTCGCCAAAGTGCTTGCTCATAGGGGGTCATATGATTGTTGGGTTTTTCTCTGTATCTATGAAGCGCCTTGAGGCGACTTTTGTTGTGATTTGGCGCTATATAAATAAAATTGAATTGAATTGAATTTTGAAAGTAGAAACAAATTACATCTTATCCCTCCTTAGTTTTGGTCAGGGAACCTGAAAACACTGTAGTGGTTTTTGTGTATATGTTGTCTATATAAAAGTGTGCTGTGTCTTTGCAGGAGGAAGAGGAAGAGCCGATGGAGGAAGATGAGGCTGTTCAAGAGGAAACAGCAGAGCGGGGGAATCCAAACTAATCCAGATAGAGAGGACACAAACACACCTTCTTAATGGCTGCGCTGCCACTCTGCTTTTGTTGTTCAGACTAAAGCACATGTAACTTTCTACTAGTTTCCCAAAGTTTGTAGACAAACAGCTTTTAGCTTCTACTTTAGGTTAGCAACCAGAGGTGTATTTTGACAAATGGTATTCAAATGTTGATATCTTTACTTTCAAGGAAAGAATTTGTAATTTTTATGGATGAGGGTGAAACCGACAGGTTTCAGACAGCCTTATGAAGCACATGAAATCATCCAGCACAGGAGTACACACAGAAACATATATTACTGAGCTCCTTCTACAGCAGTGTCTGACTCTTTACTCTGCTTTCATACACTTATGATCATCATGCCACACAAAGTATGCTCAGTGTCCTGTTTACAAGATGACACTTTTTCGTCAGAGCCCATAGAGCACCCCCCTATTCCCTGCTGACCATGCTTACACACTTAAACCAGTCAGAGGTCAGCAGTAATACCTCCAACAACTTTCAATGTGTGTTTAACTGGAGCATTTTATTTTTGTATCTTATTCATACCACCTTATTTCCTACTTCTTATGAACTTATGTAACTAAACAAGTGAGAAAATAAGGTTTTAGGATTTGTTTTTTTGTTGATTTTTTTTTTTTAACTTTTATTTTCAGCAGTACAAAACTTATTATGCTACATTTTGCCTTTGGATCTTAATGAATATCTTGTTTAGGAAATATATCTACTTAAGTATTTTATTTATATACTTTGTAAAGTAGAATTAGTTTGGAACTCTTTTACTTCTTTTTCATAGCCAGATGGTTGTTTGACCTGCTTGTAGGCTGTAATCATAACTAAATGTCCATGCTCTCACTCACTTTGCAATTGAAATTTAACATCAATTGAGGCCAAAGAGCATGGCCTTAAGAGGTCAAGTGCACTACAACTTAAGAAATTCAATTCAATTAAGTTTTATTTATTTAGTGCCAAATCACAACAACAGTTGCCTCAAGGTGCTTTATATTGTAAGGTAGAGCCTACAATAATGCATACAGAGAAAAACCCAACAATCATATGACCCCCTATGAGCAGCACTTTGGCGACAGTGGGAAGGAAAAATTCCCTTTTAACAGGAAGAAACCTCCGGCAGAACCAGGCTCAGGGAGGGGCGGGGCCATCTGCTGTGATTGGTTGGGGTGAAAGAAGGAAGACAGGATAAAGACATGCTGTCTTTATCCTGTCTTCCTGAGAGGGTTTCTTTGAAGTCATTCATATTTAATTTTTGTATGACAGCAAATAGAAAAATGGCATAAAAGCACACAAAACACAACAGAAGGTGAATAAAACATAGTGGGGGGGGGGGCGGGAAACACTGCACCAGCTCACAAAAAAACAGAATTATTAGGAGTATTTTTGAAGCATTTGTTCCATCAACCTTTGTTTTGTGTCTTGGAGTTTTGTGTGCCTATTAGACCTTTTTTCTATTTGCTGGTATTTTTTTTTAAGTTGCAGTGTATTTGACTTCTCAGGGCCACTGTAAAGGAAGCAGCAAAAGTGTTATCTCACATCAACTGCTACAGTATCCACAACCTTAGAAATGTTTGAAAGTGGTGACTACATTTAGTTTCTATGACTGTTAACAGAGAGTAAACGAATCATTAGATTTGACCAGAGATCATGGCCTGTCAGATTTTTTGCCTGTCAGCAAATCTGAAGCTATCCCTTAAAGTGCCAATAAATCCGAATTGGAAAGCCTAAATGCTTCTCTATCACTTAAACTCACTAACACACGTTCAAAGTCTCATTCTCTAGTTATTAGCCTGTTTAGCGTCATACTACCTGGAGTAACACATCATCAGAAAGTAATAGTTGCAAAAAACCAAGAACTTTACATTTTATACAAAGCCAGAAAATACTACAGGAGCCGGATTAC